TCAAGAGAAATTACGCTATTACTCTATTTTATTCTACAGTATTAAAATGATTGTCTATATGATCCTATTTTCTATTGCACATAAAAAGCAGCAAATAAAGCAATAAAAGAGAAGAGTAGTGAAAAGAACCTCTGAAACAAGCTTTTATTACAAATCTTCAACTCTGAGGATGTTTTTTGGCTATCCTCCCACACTACAAAGACTCTCCTCTCCGGAATACAAGAAAAGAATTTTACACTATCGAATACCGGATATCTCAAAAGAGATTTCCTTAACCGATTTTTACCTTATAGGCAATCAGAAAGATCATTCGAGAACTAGAAGTGTATTAGAGAGTAGAGAAAATTGAAGTTGTTGTGAAAAAGCTACAAATGGGCCCCCTATTTATAGTTTTTCGCTGTCAGGACTCCGAGACGGCCGTGTCAGCCTCAGAAAGGTGGGACGGCTGTCTCAACTGCTTGGGACAGCCGTCTGGCCCTTGGGACGACCGTCTCAAGTGAGAAAATTAACTGGGACATGCGTCTCAGCCACTTGGGACAGCTGTCTCGAGTGTTTCTCAAAATTTTTCGTTTTATTGCTTCAGAAAAGCTCTCCTTTCTTCAGACGGAAACCGGTTGATGTTGTTAGATGTTCGTCGAAGTTTTACCCACCTTCAGAGTGGAAGTCTCTTTATTGAGAGGTCGGACAAAATTTGGGGTCTACATTCCTTCCTCCCAATTCCAATAAGCATTTTCATCAACTTTAGCGTCTTTGCTAATGGTGAACTTCTTTCCCTGCAAATTGTAAATTATATAACCTTTTGTTTATATGTTATATACTGATAAGCTTTCTTGTATATTTTTATCTTTTATTGGAGTCTTGTCTTGGATTACCTTAACTGGACATTTGTTGAATATATACACAACCGTGTAGACTATTTCTTCCTAAAAAGTATTTCGCAAGTCTTTGTCCTTCAGCATTGATCTTGTTATCTCCATTATTGTGTGATTTTTCTTTTTTGATACATCATTTTGTTGTAGTGTATATACAATTATAAGTTATCTTTCTATTCCTTTGTCTTCACAAAACTTGTCAAATTTGTGAGTTATATTATTTTCCATGACCATTTCTTAGAACTTATGTATGTCTTTCACTTTGTGTTTTTAACGATAGTTTTGGACTTTTTGAATATTTCAAATACTTTTTTTTCTTTAATGAAGTAAGCATAGGTCATTCTAGAAAAGTCATCAATGAAAATGATAAAGTACTTGTTGTTTGTTTAGTGACAATGTTCTAAATGGTTCATATACGTCTGTATGAATTAATTCTAACAAATCTTTTGCTCTCCATGTTGTGTTATTTGAAAATGGTAATTTGTGTCTCAAAAAGATATCATTCGCAAACTTCATTATTCTCTTTTAAGTATGAGAGTCCTCTCATCATATTTTTTTGATGTAACAGCTTCGATACCTGAGTATTGAAATGACCAAACTTTTGATACTAAAGTCATGAATTGTCAACTTAGACTTTCATGGCAATATTAGTAGTATGTTTGATACTTATAGGAAAACTTCTATTTTTTTTTCTCTATTTTTATTTTTATCTCTCGTCTTCTATTGTTATATATTATGCATTTATTACCTTTGAAGTGAAAAACATAACATTTCTCCATTATTTGACAAATGTGCAAGAGATTTTATTTAAGATTTGGAACGAGCAAGACATTTTTAATAAATAGAGGTCTTACAACAACACATAATAATATGTTAGCTTGGGGTGAAAATTGTTGTTTTGTCTCGTCTTCATTTTTTTTTTCTTATTCTCAATTCTTAGTTTAGTTTTTAGTTAGACGAGTCATCTACTGCTACTTGTACTTATTGTTTGTTCTCTTTTATTTAATTTTTAATTTCTATTGAATTTTCCAATTTATATTATTTTATTTCCTTTATTTATTAAGTACTAATTTTAATTTCTGCTATTTAATTGTTTAATTTTTTTATTTCAGATCTTGCTTAATTTTCATTTTTTAATTCATCTCTTTTCCAATTTCAATTCTCAATTTAATTTTAGAGTTATCGTTTTTAGAATTTTCAAATTAAATTACTACATTATTTTTTTAAGCAATTATTAATTCTTTCATTTTTAATTAAAAACACTTTATTTTGATTTTATAAATTTCAGTTATTTAAATTCTACTTACATTTAATTTTAATTATCATTAATATTTTATAATAACTTGATTTTAAATTTTTATTATTTTGCATCAATTTATTTCTTTTTCACCCTTTCATGCATACCTTATTTACTGTTTTAGAGAGAATGATATGTGGTAATATATTCCTATAATTATGTTCGTGTGAGATTCCACACGGATTAGCTATATTGCATTAGTTTAACAACTTGTTTATTATTTTGTATTAGTATTTTGTGCGACCAAAATGTTATTATTAAGGGGTTGGTTCAAAAGTGGTGTGTGATACCGCATGGTTGAAAACAAGAGGGCGTGACCAAGTGGATTCAGTATTGCACGACGAGGCACACCAAATTCGATGGTTGCTAGAGTGAACGACGATGATCGACGCAACAAACAATAATGTTTTGAGCTCTCAACTTAGCTGACTCGTCAAACATTCGGTTTCGACCACCCAAGTTCTTTTTATCCTTCATCTCGATTAGCCTTTTGTAGTTCTCAAATAACATGATAGGTAGTGGCGTCATGAAAATATCAACAATTTGATCTCGACTCGCCACATGTACAAACTCCACGTTCTCTTCCTTCACATGTTCTTGAATGAACTGAATTTGTACATAAATGTGTTTGTTTCTTTCATGGTTCATCGAATTCTTAGTCAGTTCAATGACCAACTTATTATCAACTCAGATTGCACAAGCTCCATATTTTCTTCCTTCACATGTTCTTGAATGAACTGAATTTGTACATAAATGTGTTTGTTTCTTTCATGATTCATCGGATTCTTAGTTAGTTCAATGACCAATTTATTATTAACTCAGATTATGGTTGCACCAAGTATTTTTTTTTTTTTCAGCATCAAACTTAGCAAATTTCGGAGTCACATTACATGACACACACTCCACGATGTCGTATACTCGACTTCACATGTTGATAATGTTATTATGGATTACTTCTTCGAAAGTCAGGTAAACACTGTGTTAGCCATGAAGAAAACCTATCCTGAAGAACTTTACTGATTATCCACATCTCTACACCAGTCGTTGTCCAAGTACCTCATAAATTAGTAATTGTCTGACTTTGTGTACAACAATTTGAATGATGATCTCAGATATACCTTAATATTCGCTTCAACGCTTTTCAATGAGAGTAGCTCGGATTCTCTATAAATCGATTGACAATTCCAACACTCAGTATTAAATCGGGTCTGGTACTTGTTAGATAACGAAGACTTTCAACTAAATTCCGATATCTACTTGGTCTCCTCCATCAAATTTGGAAAGTTTCGTCTCTCGTTCCGTGGGAGTTGAGATCGAATTACAATCGATTATCTTAAATTTACTTAGAATCTCCTTTGCATACGGTCGACAATAACTCGAACCTTCTCGTCTAGAATAATTTAGATGATTTTCTGAAACTTTATCTTAGCTACACCTTTGCAAACTCTGCCCTCCATGCTTAACAATCCGCCATGCTCAACAATCCGAACAACATGCTCTTCATATTTTCCTTCAACTTCTCCTATATTTTTTCTCCTTGATTTTCGAACTAGCAACTACTGGTCCAACCTCTTTTATTATTCTTCAATTCTCCATATTCCACTCTCTTGTGTCATCTCTCGACTTGCAATACGTACATTCTATTCTTTCCAATATTGAATGCATTGAGAATGAAAATCTCAAGAGACACTCGTGCCATAGGGAATGTCTAGGTTTCATTACTTACGAAAAGTCTGAAATTGATCGACTCGTTTTAATTGTAAATTTTTTTCATGAAATATATCTTTTATCCAAAGCCTGAAGTTAAGTTGAAATATTGATATATTGCATAAGAAAATCAATTCTCTATTTTTAAAAGATTGAATTTAAAATTCCAATTTAAAAGTTAGAGAAAAACATATTTAACTGATATATTATTTACAGTTGGACAAACCGTAAGAAAAAAAAATTATGTCAAACAATATATATATCAACAGTTTAAGAATATTTTATAATAATTAAGTTTGATTGTAATTAATCTAATAGTTGTATCTTTCTAATGATTCTGTAAAAACTATAAAATTTTAGAGATTTATTTTTTTATTAATATTAATGTCATATTTATACATTTTATATATTTTTAACTACAACATTAAGTTAGAAAATTTCAACAAGTATACTAAAAATGCCCAGGTATATGAGAAGATCAAGCTATGTTACATGGACTTAATGAACAACACAGCAATGTCAGATCTCAAAATGTTCTCATGAATCTTATTATTTTTATTTTCAAGATCTTCTCATGTGTCACTTAACAAGAACACCGACTTTTGAGAATTAATTTTGTTGCTAAAGTTGATTCCCGGTTGTGAACTACAGATAGTATTTATTAACAGTCTCTGTTCAAGCTGCTGATTTTACAGTCGAGGTTACAATAAATGACAGAAATCTTGAATGGCATTTCCTAGTAATTACCATGTTTGAAACTTCGAAAAAATACAGCTCAGAAGAAGAGTGAAATGTACTTGGAACCAAGCACATAAAACCCAACAACATTTAATGAATAAAACAAATGTTTCTTCGAAACCATCGCCTATGTAATTTTAACTGCACATAGATATAACCACAGAACAATAATTGTTTCTAAATATGAGATTCTTGAGTCAAAGTTCTTCGATTAAGAGTATTAAAAATATTTGAGGTTGAAATCCAACCACCTAACGCGATATTAACCATGTACAAATTCCAACTTGTGAAAGAATGGCATTTCACAAAAAGTCAAGATCATGAATAATATATGGAAGTTATTATCACTTCACTTAAAAAAACATTTTGTCTAAAGAAAATTGTACATTTTGATATGAACCCTGATATACAGGCTTGAGTAGAAGCATGGTGGACAAAAGCCATGGTGGAATCGTGAAGGCACTCATAAAATGGCGGGCTAGCAGCATAGGTGCCGTTAAGAGGAAATCAGATAAAAGATAACATTTATTTGGCCAAAGAACGTAAGAGGCGTCTGAAAAGAGAAGACCGGGGATTGGTTTCTTCATTCGTTGGTGAAGACGCGCGGTGCTCTGCAGTCCTGTCTCTTTCAAACTGCTGATTCTACAGTCGAGGTTACAAAAATGACAGAAATTTTAATGGCATTCTCGAAAAACTTAAATTTTATGAAATAAATAAAAAAATGACACGTGATAATCAAATAATTATTCGTATTACTTCCTAATAACTGTTACAAAGAAAATTAGTATTACTTCCTAATAACTGTTATAACGAAAATTAGTGTAAGTCTATGTCAGAATAAATTTCTAAAAGATAATTTTTTCCTTTTTTTTTAATACACAATTATATTACCATGTGAAAGAATTGAAAATAAAAGTTATGAATATATAATATATGTGACAACTATTTGAGTTCAGATGGACATGATGGCTGTGATTGAATATAATAGTGACTGAGGATGCTTCATTATCAACTATTTCACATTCTGAGCCTACAGAAGAAGTTTGATTGTCACTTCTCATTGGCATAAGTTGATGTTAGAATTGTGCAAATTGTGTGCTTTTGTATTTTCTAATAACCTTCACATCAATCACCCTTCAAACAATATTGCACTTGCACAAAAGGAAAGGAACAGTGTTGTTATCATCTACTATATCACAGTTGCAGTTTGTTTTTCTTAATTCCTTCCAAATTTCACCGGTGAATCAATAAAACAAGAAAGAAAGAAAATTGTATATGAGAATTTGTTTGCCAAATAAAGTAGAAGTTAATCTCGTTGCATACACTTTACCTACGAATAAAGTAGGTAAAGTTTGAGGTACGAATGAAGTATCACTAAAACAATTTATAAGTTGAACAAAACATGTTTCAAAATACATGATTAGTGAGTGTTATAAATCTAGTATTAAAAATAATTGTTACAAATTATTAACAAATAACATAAACAGTACATGACTCTTATAACACATTAATCTAGTGATTGTTTTGTCTTTCTTAGTTCAATTATGTGATTTACCTGGTTTTAACATTAAACTGTATTTTTTACTTTCATCATGGATATTTTGTCAAACAAAATCACGTGGCATTTGTCTGAGACACTATGTTGGACAAACCCTAGACTTATGCTATAAAAATCACTTGTTTTTAAAATACCATAATTTCATCTTTTAAACTTATAATATCTACACCCACTTCGACCGTTTTATATAACTATAATGATAAATTTTAAATTTCATCTTTAATTATTTTTATTAATTGATGCACAAATAAAAAAATTACGTAAGTAATCCTCTAAACGTTTGAAGTCAGGCTAATAATATTTATTTAAAAATCATTGATGTATTACAAACCATAAAACACTAAGTGGGATAATAATCTTTTTGTTTTTTTTTTATAAATTTTTTCTACAACTATAAAACTGTACCAGAAAATCCAGTGTTTCTCTTCACCAGTAAATGGTCTTCTCAAGAATTCCTAGCTTTCATCACTTGTGTTGACCTTTTGAGTACTAAAAGTCTGAAATTCAGTAACTTGTTTTAATTTTAAAAATATTTTCTTTATTAAATTATGGATTTTACTAAAAAAATTATTTATAGATGAGTTTCTATTTCTTTCTAGTTCTCTCATTTTATTAAATTTTCACCCTCTTTTGACATATTATGCATAGAGTACAGTGAAGAAGATCTTTATTATTATTAATAAGGAGCCTATTTTGGCCAATAAATATAGTATTGAAGGAAAAGAGAAAATTTCAACAAACAGTAAATATATTAAAAATGGACATATGGGGAGATCAAGCAATGCAAGTATATATGAACTTAATCAGAAATAGCAATGTCAGATTTGATGATACCTGGAACTCTAATTTTCAATTATTGTTGTTGCTAACATTGATACCAAGACCCTTGTCATCAATGCAACTACTTCATCTCTCATGTGTAATCACTGTGAATACATAGGGTACACTGAAAATCTTGATTGCCATAAGCATGATTTTTGTTTAAATCTGGAGAACAAAGTCATAAGAATTCGTTCAGTCAGAATGGCTATATCTGCATCCATTGTGGAAGAAAGGCCCATACTATGGATGTCAACTGCTGCAAACACTGTTTTCTTCTTGATCCTAAATTTTACATTGAAAAAAAAAAATGCTGTTGTGAATAACACGATGATTAGTGATTGTAAAGTCACAAACCTGATCAACAACAAACTATTGATTTTTGCATCTCTTCTTAACAAAATCAAGACTTGACAGCTTTATTGCAACAATTCACCAATGTAAGCTCAACTTCTAATTTTTGCACACTAACCAAATTAATTCTATTTCTTCAGGTCAGTCTCCATCATTCTCAGGTACTTGTTTTTTCTTTAATCAGTTCTATCAATACATGTAGTATCACATCATATATCATAGATTCAGACACCAGCTATTGATCTGTTTCACTTTCACATTTCTTTACATATAACATATTAATCCTATTATTATCAACTTACCCGGAGATCAACAAGTTCTTACAAGTCATTCCCACATAGTAAATATATAGTTGTTTTTCTTAATTAATATTCTTTAAATACATGCATCCACCCTCAATTTAATCTTCACTTTTAAATTGGTTTCAATAAATAAATATCTTCTAGAATCTTTTATTTCCTATTTTAAGTTTTATCCTCTTTTTTTCGTCATTTTATTATGGTCATTTTTCTACCACCAAATCCACTTCCTATACTGAAGCATCAAAGAGTGACAGTTAGATGAGATTATTGAATATCTTAAACACTATAAAACACTCCTTATAGCAAAAAACTATGCTTAACTGGAGGGTCTAGTTTTACTGGATTATTTTCATACCTGTTCAAAGTATACAATAATTTGTCTTCTCTTTACATAATTGTCATTTTTTTTGTTTAAGATAGGAAGAAGGAAAGAGGGTTTAGGTATTGTGTATGATTTGTCATCTTTCTAAATCACTATAGAATTTTGATCATCTTTCAACGAGAAGTTTAAATATATTGTTTCACTGGCATATACAACTAATTCTCTCGTACCTACTTATTGAGTCATATATATATATATATATATATATATATATATATATATATATATATATATATATATATATATATATATATATATATTTTTTTTTTTTTTACTGTCCCTGGTCTATGGTAACTAATATCATGTTCTTGTTTTTTCTCATCGCCACTCACATGTTGATTCAGCTCTTTATCACGTTAGTTCCAAGTTTTAATACAATTTGTCTAATAATTAGATTTGTAAATACAACCATAGATTTTTAATCCAATTCTAATTCTTAAAATAATAATAAAAATTTGATAAGCTTTAAAAATAGCTGAAAAAATTATTTATTATTTATTTGTAAATTAAAAATTTAAGGTAATAGGTTAACCAAATTTTAATTTTTTAGTGAATTGTCCGAAAATTAGATACAAGCTTCACAGAATTTTATAATATATATTAGTAATTATTTTAAACTTTCTTGAATATAAGAAATTAATTAAATTAAAAGGTAATTTTATTAACTAAATCATTTAAATTAAATATAAAATAATAAATGACTGAATCGGTATCGTTTTTATTTCCTATATATATGATTGAAATGTAGGGTTCTTAGCACTACTTTCTACTCCTTCGGCGCCGCTGCAGCTGTGTTGCTGTTCCTCAAACCATTTTTCTTTGCAGTGAGCAAAAATAATGGCTGCTGAAAGGTATGAAATATCCACAAATGTTGCATAACTGAGTTTCTGTGCATGATGCACATTTCTGCTACACTTTTCTTTGGGTTTTGCCTCTGTTGACAATGTTTCTTGTTTGATTATGTATTGTTGTCTGATGTTTATTCTATGCAGTTGTCGGCTAAAACCCCATTAACAAATCTAAACAAACATGCAGATGGTTGTGCTGTCAATGTTTTGTTTTCTTTTAAAATGTCTAAAATTATCAAAGATGATGTTACAGATGTAAGTTTCTGTGCATGATGCATATTTCTGCTATTTGCTTTTTGTATTGGGTTTTGTCTCTGTTGACGATGTTTTTTGCTTGATTATGTACATTGTTGTCTGATGTTTATTCTATGCAGTTGACCGTTAAAACCCCATTAGCAACTCTAAAGATCTGTCAGTGTTTTCTAACTAGAAAATCTGAAATGACCAAAGATGTTAGAGAAGTGAGTTTCTTTGCATGATGCTTATGTTGCTATATTGTGTTGTCTGATATTTATTTGATGCAGTTGATTGGTAAAACCCCATTAATGTATCTAAATAAACTTGCAGAGATGGTCGTGTTGTCCGATTTGCTGCCAAACTCGAGTTGATGGAACCTTATCCTTTCCTAACGCAAACGACAACTAACATTTGTTCCGCTTCTGTTACTGAGTTTTAAATCATATATAAGTAGGATTATGTTTGATATGACTTTTTGTGATTTTATATTTGTTTTCTCGTCTAGAAATAAGGGTTTTCAAATATTGTAATGCTTTTTTAAATATAAGAAATTAATTAAAATAAAAATTTATTTTACTAAAAAACCTTCAATTAAAATATAAAATAATATATTGATGATACATGTTAGTTTCTCCTATTTTGTACTTTGTTGACCATCCCAGTGTTCTTCTCTATAGTGATTCATGTTCCTCTATGTCACTTTTATGATCTTTCACTGTATTAATCAAACCTTTATTAGTAGTAAACTATTAATTGTTAATTAGGTATCTGAAGGAGAGTTTATTTGCATTTTATCAATCCCAACATCAACATCATTGGTTGTTTTGTTCTTTTATTCTTAATGGGTGTGTGTATTTTGGTAGCTTGTGGGCTTTATGCTAATAGTTTTTGTTTGTTCGTTCGTGTGTTTTGTAGTGAACATATATTATGGCTGTTGAAAGATCTGGAATTGACAAAGATGTTACATCTTTGCATGGTGCCAATTTCTGCGCAGTTTGTTGTATTGGGTGTTTCTTGTTAGATTGTGTACTGTTGTCTGATGTTTATTTGATGCAGTTGATTGATAAAACCCCATTAATGTATCTAAAACTTGCGCATGGTTGTGTAGTCCGTGCTCTGAAGTAATTTGTGATTGATTTTGTGCTTGTTTTATTGTCTTTAACACACAGTGGTTAATTTTCTATTTGCATTGTGAATGTTCAGGTTCACATAAGTCTCGAGATTGGTGGTGGGTTTGTTCGTGGTGTCTTTGAAGTCAATCTTATTGAAGAAGTCGTCAAAGTAAGTTTTAATTACGTGGTTGATAATAATTACATTATTCAAACTATCATGTAATGGTTATGAAATAGTTATTTTAATGTTAAAGTTGTTTGGAAATACCTAGCTTAAAATAAGTATTTATGAAATAAGGGTTTTTCTGGGTAGTTTTAGTTATATAAGTGAATGTTGAGGAAGAAGTATGTGATCATGTTACTATTTTGAAGGTGACTTTGCTCAAAAATATTACACTCATATAGGTAGTTTATTTTTCAAAAAAAAAATATATATAGGCAAACATCACACACAACATGATAAAAAATAAACACTCACATTTGTTCAATAAGCATCATTTTCATAAAACATGCATTTTGGTTTTAGAAAATGGAGGGGACTAGTAGACAATTGAAGAAGGTGGACATTCCCCAATACCATACTGAGAAATTGGAACGGCTTTGCACGGTAATGCCACCAGAGGTCCGCTCCGACTTTGAAAAATCATATGGACGGATTCTCGACCTGCTAAAGATCTGTGTCGATCAAGTTTTCGTCGAGTATTAGTTCACTTCGGAACTCCGATCTGCGCCGCTTCGAATTTCCGCAGTTTGATATGGTGCCAACCTTAGAGGAGTACGAAATTATGCTAAAATGGCCCAAATCAGCCGGGGTCCATATCCGCCATGGGGCATATACTCCTGCAGCACAAGTCGCTGCCATTATCCAACTGTCTTTCCGGCAGACTACCCTGATAGGAAAAGGGAACATCCAGGGTTGGAAAGTCTCAATGTTAGAAGACCATCTGTCCGCTTTGGCTGAAAGGGCGGAATGGGTCGCTTTTAACAAAACTCTGGCCTTAATCATATTTGGAACGATGTTGTTCCCCTTCCATCTCGACACAGTGGATCAAGCCGTCATGGACGCCTTCTTCACCTGGGACGTGAACTCGAAGAGTCCCTTGCCTGCAATTCTTGCCGACACCTTGCTCTCGGTGGAATTCTGCCGCCAGAAGCAAGGAAAAACACTTTGTTGCTGCTCTTCACTACTTTTTGTGTGGGCCATTACGCATTTTTACGCCTCTAGCCACATGGGGATGTTCCCCGACCCTTTGAGGAGCTTCTCCAAAATCCCTCTCCAACGACGCTTAACTATAGAGTGGAGGGAAGAGTTGGAACAAAAGGACGCCAACAATTTATCTTGGGTCTGCCCTTGGTTCCAACCCGGCCCAGTCCTCATCAGATGTGGAGACTATCCGAATGTACCCTTGATAGGACTCAGGGGTTGCATAGCCTACTCACCTAGAGTAGCTATGAGGCAGCTCATGAGGACCCAAACTACAATTTCTCGAGGGGAACTCGGAGGACTGTGTTTCTTCGGAGACCCATGCACAATCGCCAACTCACTAGCCGTGAGAAAAGCATGGGAGAAACCAGTCTTTATGGGAGATAGGGAACTAGGAAAAGCTCGAGTGGTTGTCTCTAATGACTATGAGGTGTGGAGAAAAAGAAGAGGGATGTCTCAACCATCCACCTCACTTATTACAAATGCCAATAGTGAAGAGCTGCAAGCTCAAGTCGATGCCTTGACCCAGAGGATAGAAATCATGGGAGCCCAGATGAGGGCCCTTGAAGAAAGAGAGCAAGAATCTATCCTCACCATTGACAGTCTGCAAAGGCAATGCAAAAAAAAGGATCATGAAATAGAGCGTCTCAAGGACCAGTGTGCTGACTCTAATGAACAAGCTATTCGAGCATCCAAAATTGCCAGAACCAGCTCGGATAGCCAACTTCAAGAAATAACCGCCAAATTAGCATGCCTTGAGGCCGAATCAACAAAACAGGCTCAGACGATCAAGGAGTTGTCGCAAGAACTCACCAAGACTCGGTCAGAAATACGCCAAGAGCGGGAGGTCAATCGGAGACTCAACAAACAACAGCAACAGCAGCAACAGCAACAGTACACGGACGACTTTGCTGGCATGAACCGCAACATGAACGATCTGCGCCAGCAATTCGATCAGATGTCCGTAAGGCAAGAGCAGATGTCTCTAAGGCAGGAAGCCTTTGACACAAGACTGGAGACAATCTTCCCGTACCAGGAAGGGATGCGGCAAGACTAGGCAACATTCCAACAAGAGTACCGCGATGAGATCCAGGACCAAGAAGATTTCCAGAGACACATGTACCAGCAATTCCCTTCCTACGGATCGTCTCCAGATGATAGTCCATAGGGATAGGGCTCATAGAATAAAGGTTGCTGTAATAAAAACTTATATGATTAAATTTTTTATTCCATGCATCTTTTCGCTATCTTTTCCAAAAAAGTCAACGTAACAAAAACTAAGAGTAAAAAGACATACACTCAAGAAAAAAGCCGAAATTCGAAATCGCGAGAAAAAAGAGATAAAACCGCGAAAAAATTAATAGTCTCTGTTCAAGCTGCTGATTTTACAGTCGAGGTTACAATAAATGACAGAAATCTTGAATGGCATTTCCTAGTAATTACCATGTTTGAAACTTCAAAAAAATACAGCTCAGAAGAAGAGTGAAATGTACTTGGAACGAAGCACATAAAACCCAACAAGATTTAATGAATAAAACAAATGTTTCTTCGAAACCATCGCCTATGTAATTTTAACTACACAGATATAACTACAGAACAATAATTGTTTCTAAATATGAGATTCTTGAGTCAAAGTTCTTCGATTAAGAATATTAAAAATATTTAAGGTTGAAATCCAACCACCTAACGCAATATTAACCATGTACAAATTCCAACTTGTCAAAGAATTGCATTTCACAAAAAGTCAAGATCCATGAATAATATATATGGGAGTTATTATCACTTCACTTAAAAAACATTTTGTCTAAAGAAAATTGTACATGATGAATATACTAAAACATTTTGATATGAACCCTGATATACAGGCTTGAGTAGAAGCATGGTGGACAAAAGCCATGGAATCGTGAAGGCACTCATAAAATGGCGGGCTAGCAGCATAGGTGCCGTTAAGAGGAAATCAGATAAAAGATAACATTTATTTGGCCAAAGAACGTAAGAGGCGTCTGAAAAGAGAAGACCGGGGATTGGTTTCTTCATTTGTTGGTGAAGACGCGCGGTGCTGTGCAGTCCTGTGTCTCTTTCAAACTGCTGATTCTACAGTCAATACAGAGGTTAACAGAAATCTTTCAAACTGCTGATTCTACAGCTTGTTTTATTGTTTTTAACACACAGAATTTGGTATAGAATCGTTATGGATGCTGAAGAGAAGGGCCTTATCACTCCTGGGAAGGTTGGTATATCTTGATAACTAAGAAAAGTGAAGCCAAGCGAAAAGATTTTTAAAATAGATAAATAATAATATAATTTTTTTTAAATAGATAAATAATAATATAAAAATTTAAAAGTAAATTATTTAAAAATTAAAAAATCTTATAAATAGCATTTTAGTAACAAATTTTTTTTGTTATAAATAATTATATTATAGTTATGTTTTCATGTTTTAACTAAATATATATGTTATTAATGTTTTTTCTAGATATAACATAAGGAGGATAGATCAAGTGGAATTCTGCAAAATTGTACGCGGTTATATACAAAGTATAATCACAAATATTTATTTTGCTTTATTTATTATTAACAAATAATTTATTTTTTATATTTTGAGTAATATTAATAGATAAATTAAAAAATATAAGTACGATTATTATGTAATGCATGACGATCATTGTCTAAATAATACTAGAAAGAGGATGTGATCATAAAGTCATAAAACAAATTATTTATTTCTTTGTTTTTCAAAAATAAAGATACGACTATAGTTAATACCCTAACCGTAGTTATAAGTATGTTGGAGGTAACGATTCACTCATAGATACAACGAAATTCATTGTTGTATATTAAGATACAACAATGATTATTTATAAAAATTCATTATTATGTGTTACATACGATGACGGTAATTTTATAAATAACTGTCATCATATTTCTTGCATAAAACGACAATTCCATTAACGATGAATTTGAAATCGATGTTGTATACCTTTTTAACCGTTGTTAAACACTATAACAATGTTATAATTAAATTAGATATATAAGCACTTAAGTTCAATAAAATAAATAGAGTAATATCTTATTATAAAAGTGTTGAATGAAATTGGTTAAATTTATGATTTATTAAGTTTAAGATATTAGATAATTTAAAAAATATAAGTAATAATACATATATAATTACAAAACAATTATAATACTAATAAAATTAAATTTCATTTTAAGGATTAAAATTAAATTTAAAGAACATACTTACAAGATATTTTATTCAAAAATCATGCATTTAACATGTTTTCATTAAAAATATGGTATAATTCAATTTTTCTTAATTAGTTGTATTTTACATAATTTTAGCATAATAAACAATATATATATATATATATATATATATATATATATATATATTCACGTTACAAATTTCTTTTTCTTCTTTTGTAAGAGAGGTAATTTGAGATGGGTCAAATTGATAAAAAAAATGTCCAAATTATTGTCGTTAAGTTTCACTATTTTTGTAAGCCCAAGTTTGCTTATCGTAAAACGTTAAAAATGGAAATTTTGAATCAAACAAATTAATTGGTGTAGGAATCTAATTTAGTTAAATTCACTACTAGAAAAATGTCAAATAGTAACCGAAATCGATGATCGAAAAATTTAGTTACTATCGATGACCGAATCAATAACCAAATTATTATTTTTTAGTCTAGTAATCGAAATAGTAACTGAATTTTCGGTCACAAAAAATCGGTTACTATTTCAGATCACTTTATTATTTAATTTATTTTTTTAATTAATCTATATTTAATTTATGTAATTATTTACTACAAAAATGGTTAATAGTGTCTGAAATTAGTGACTGATTTTTTTATATTTAGTAATCGATTTAGTGACTAAAATTTCAGATCACTAAAAAAATAATTTTTAAACTGATAACTATTTTTCATTTATATAAATATTTTATTTAAAATATTTTAAATATAAATTTACTTAATGATTTAAAATAATTGATAACATTTTTAATAAAATTATAAATATTTAAAAAAATTGTTTACTAACTTATTAAATAATTTAGTAATATAATTATTTGATTTTATTTTTTAATTTAGCATGTGAATAAAAAAATTAAAATTGATTATTAAATTAGCCACCGAATCGGTCACTGATTCGGTCATCGATTCGGTCACCGAATCGGTCACTAATTCGGTCACTCGATTCGGTCATCGATTCGGTCATCGATTCGGTCACTCGAATCGGTCATCTGATTCGGTCACTCGAATCGGTCACTAAATCAATAATTAAATTAATTATTAATTTAGTCTCTTTATATATATATATATATATATATATATGTATATATATATATATATATTACTTGTATGTTAATAAAAATGTATTTCAATGTATTTATAAAAAATTAAAATTATTTTAATTACTGAATTGATATTTTAAATTTATATTAATATCTTGAATAATTTAATAGTTGGATATATATATATATATATATATATATATATATATATATATATCACTTTAATTTTTTTAATTAAAATTAATTTCATAAAAAAATTAATATTTGAAAATTAAAATATTACGTGACCAGTTTTGTTAAAATATATATCACTTCAGTTTTGTTAAAATATATATCACTTTAGTTTTGTTAAAATATATATCACTTTTGTTAAAAGATTCTTTTAATATGTTAAAAGTGCATTTTTAATCTGTTAAAACTTCTTTTAATCCATTAATACGTTCTTGATTCTTTAATCGATTTGTTTTAACCGATACGACAACGTTTATATCAATTAAAACACTTTACAAAAAATCTTCTAAGTTGATTTAATCGATTGTTCGCGATTCAATCGATTGAAATACTTGCAAAACTTTCTCCTAAAACTTTTCAAGTTATTTTAACTGATAAAAATAAGTTTTAATCGATTAAAACGCTTGTCTAGAACTCGTTTTAATCGATTGAAACGAGATTTAATCGATTAAAATAGTTATGATCGGTCATAAATGCATTCTGACCGATCATAATTGAAACCATATAATAGCGGTTCAAGGGTTAACCGCTATCTAAGTCATATTTTAAGAGCGGTTCTCGTGTAACCGCTATCTAAACCTAATCTCGCTTGAGCGACAATATTCTCGCTCGAGTGAAACGCCCCTGCACAAAATTAGTACTCTCGGGTTGTATTTAACTTGAGCGAGCCTATCTCGCTCGAGCGATAGTTGATTCTGATCGATTATATTTTCGAAATGATCGATCATATTTGATAATTTTTTCAAATATTTAATTATAATCGATTAGTTTTCTAAATTATTGATTAGAATTTATTAGTTTTTCAAATAATAGATTAGAATTGATTAATTTCGAAATATATACTAAAAAAATATAATTAAAACTATAAATTAGTTAAGAATATTGACTATTGTAAAGATAAAGTAGAAACATGAGAGGAGATGAGGATGATAATATAATGATAGAACTTACAAAAATGTAGAATTGAGAAGTTTGAAACAAATAAAAATAAGAAAATAGATATTTAATTACACTTTTAATAAATTTAAGATAATACTAGTTTTAATTTTTATTTTTAAATATTTAAAACAGAGAAACTATAATTTTAGTTTCTAGCTACTCGAATTTAAAGAATTAAATTTATTATTTAATCTTTTAATTTGTAGAATTAAACTCAATATAATTGTTAAAAATACTTTGTATAGGCATTTGAGAAAGCTTTTGTCAAAATACTTTGTTTTTAATTGTTAAAAACATTTGTAGAGGTATTTTGCAAAACATAATTGAGATGATATGATAGCGGTTCCACCTTAACCGCTATCTAAAGTACAATTAAGATATGCTATTAGAAGTGCACTTTTAAGAGCGGTTCTCGTGGAACCGCTATCTAAAATGTATTTCGCTTGAGCGACAATATTCTCGCTCGAGCGAAACTCCAAGTGCATGCAATTCGCATTCGAGGTGTATTTCGCTTGAGCGACACTACTCTCGCTCGAGCGAAATACGATCCTGATCGATCATAACTTGAAATGACCGATCATAATTGAGAGGATATAATAGTGGTTCCCTCATAACCGCTATTTAAAGTGCTTGAGGTGTATTTCGCTTGAGCGAGACTTGTCTCGCTCAAGCGAAGTACGATTCGATCGATTATATTTTCAAAATGACCAGATCATATTTGATAATTTTTTCAAATAATCAATTATAATCGATTAGTTTTCTAAATTATTGATTAGAATTTATTAGTTTTTCAAATAATAGATTAGAATTGATTAATTTCAAAATATATACTAAAAAATTATAATTAAAACTATAAATTAGTTAAGAATATTGACTATTGTAAAGATAAAGTAGAACATGGGAGGAGATGAGGATGATAATATAATGATAGAACTTACAAAAATGTAGAATTGAGAAGTTTGAAACAAATAAAATTAAGAAAATAGAGATTTAATTACACTTTTAATAAATTTAAGATAATACTAGTTTTGATTTTTATTTTTAAATATTTATTTTAATTATTTCAAACGAGAGAAACTATAATTTTAGTTTCTAGCTACTTGAATTTAAAGAATTAAATTTATTATTATTTAATCTTTTAATTTTAGTATTAAAATTTTAAATTATATTTTTCTACTTTGAGAATGAACCATATAATTAAACTCAAAATTGACAATATTATAATACATTTTTGAACTCTTTTGGATTAATTTTTTTCCTAATTTTTGATAAAGTTAATTTTAATATTTAAAAGTATTTAACATTTTGAATTCTGAAAGGTTTTCTCTAATAGAAAATTTAAAAACATAATATAAAAAAAATAGTTAATATAAGTTTTCAAGTTATTTTAAGCTGATAAAAATAAGTTTTAATCGATTAAAACGTCGTGCAGAAATTGTTTTAATCGATTGAAACTAGATTTTAATCGATTAAAATAGTTATGATCGGTCATAATTGCATTACGACCGATCATAATGGAAACCATATAATAGCGGTTCAACGGTTAACCGCTATCTAAGTGAGCTTTTAAGAGCGGTTCCTGTGTAACCGCTATCTAAACTGTATCTCGCTTGAGCGAAAACTTTCCGCTCGAGCGAAACGCCTCTGCACAAAATTGGTACTCTCGACTTGTATTTCGCTTGAGCGAGTCTAGTCTCGCTCGAGCGATAACTGATTCCGATCGATTATATTTTTGAAATGATCGATCATATTTGATAATTTTTTCAAATAATTAATTATAA